ATTCTGAATGTACCTCATTGCAGATTCTGAAACATGATTGGGCAACATCAACCAAGGAGGTTTTTCCTTCGTGCATAAGTAAATCATCAATCTTTTGAAATTCCTCATCATCACATACTCGTTTCCCTGTTAGCAACTCTGCAAATACCACTGTAAAACCCGAGAGATTGCTTTGTAGCTGAGAGAGCTCTGCAAAAGTGAATTTTGTCAGACATATGTGATTGCATCACCACAAGCAAAAATACAACAGGGACTGACCCGGGGGGGGGGGGGGGGGGTAAGGTGATGGAGACATGTTGAAGTACTAACTTACCAACCCAAGGAGCATACACTAGATCTTCAGGAGGATTGATACTTCGAGGATAGCGACCACGTGCTAACTTAGTAACATCATAACCTGAAAGCTTTGCTGTAAAATCCTGCAAATTTATATTCCATGAATTCAGATCAAACAAGAGAAGGGTGTTTAAATTAAAATGGAAAACTAGTTTAGTTGTGAAATATGTTAGTCATCAAGGGCAGGTAATAGTTTGCTCAAGATAACCTACAATTCCCAAGTTCAAATGGGTATTAATCAGATGGGTAGGATTTCTTTGGTGTTATAGGAAATTACTGATAAGTACATAAATCTTAGAAAATTACCACCTTAAACTCACTGATGAGCTGCTATAATTCTAAAAGGTGTTAAGAGGAACTACAAAAGGTTTCTAATCAAACATCGACTGCATTAGCTAAATGACACAATTAGACAATAATTTTATCATCAGGAGTTTTATATATGGTATGTTGGAGAAAACATTGAGACAAGAGGATTAAAGGAGAGTTTTGTTGTGCAAAAAACTAATTTTTTTAATCATAATCACAACAACTTACAAAGGGACATATAGACAGAAATATATACATAGGTAACCAATCAACCCCTACAAGTTGGTGGTTATTTTCTGGATTAACTAATATTAACTGCCATATTACCCACTTGAGTTAACTAACTTATAACCACCTTAACGACCATCCACTAATTAATAAATCCTAATTCTAGTTTAATAATTCAACACTCCCCCTTAAGCTAGACTTATACAGCATCAAACATAACCCTAACTTCTTAAAAATTTCAATCTTCAAATATTCTTTAATGCACGAAATATGCGTTGCTATGAAGAACACCATTCATCGTCACAAACATATTTTTTGTTTGCTGTCAATTGTTGCTACAGGTACCCTTTTTTTTTTTTACTACATAGTAGATGAAAACTTCAAACACCATACACTGAAAGTTGTCTGCACTAAGAACAAACGAACTTTCATCAATCTTACACATCATCTTTTACAGGAACATAGCCACATGCAAAACATCCAGTGAAAAATCATTTGTGTGCAATTTTTGTAAGGATTAGTTACATGAGATCATCATGAAACCGGAACCATCTGTGCTTTTGACATACAACACATATAATCCCACCCTCATCTTCTTCATTTTTTAAGTTTTGCATAACCACAGTCACAAACTTGTGGTTTCCACGCCATATGTGGATATCATCAAACTTTCCACCATGAAACCTCCTTGAATCAATCATGGTTTTTCTTTTTGATTAAAAAAATATCATCCATTTCTTTCTCCTCCTTGGTGAAGTCTTAAATTATTTCTCCATTTTTCAAAATTGAAACCAAGCCAAAAAACTGTTTTTTTTTTTTTTTTTTTGGCTTTGATACCACTTTGTCGAGATTAGTCTCAAACTTCATCTTCTACAGGAACTTTATCTGTACTAAAGAAGATGATAACAAGGTTTTTTCACTAAGAACTAACAACCTTTCCTTAATCCTACAAAAATTATATAATGCACACACATATAGGTAACCATCTCAATCATCACCACTCAGACCATCTCCTCTTAAGACTTCAATGGATTGTTACATTATCATGCCATTAACTATACCTTTTAACCAACTAAACTCAAAACTCCATTAAACTCTTAAGAGTTCAATGGATTGCCACATCGCCATTTTAATTTTTTTTATAAATAATATTAAGATATATATATATATATATATATATATATATATATATATATATAATAAAAAAAATATTAAATAACTTAATAAAGTAAATTATTGAATACAAAATAAAATGAAGTATAAATCAAAAAAATAATAATAATTATAGATTGTTTATTGCAAAAAAATATTAAACGTTACTTTCAATATAAGTTTTTATAGTAAATTGAAAAAGAAAAACAAAAAAAAAAGATTTTATAGTAAATTGAGAAAGAAAAACAAAAAGAAAATTATAGTAAACTGAGAAAGAAAAAAAAGAAAAAAAGAAAAGGAAATCGTATACGACCTTTGAATGGGGATTAAACCCCCCCATTCATTAAACCCATCGCACAATGGATCTTTTGTCCATTCAACTGCCACATAACCATCTTTTTGTCATTAAACTCTCCATTGAATCCTCAATGGGGATGGCCTCACGACCCTTCATGGATGGCGGTTGGTAATAACTAATTCCAACTGTTACAAAAACCATTAACAAAGCAAAATATAACATATAACTACTACATAAAAAGAATAGATCACTCTTTCCACACTCCCCTATTTGCCCATCTTCCGGCGACCACCTTTTGATGTACTTTCCAAAAAAATATTGTTATTGGCATCGTATTCATTTGTCTTATGATACCAACCCATCCCATACTAGGCTCATATCCGCAAAATCGAAGTGTAGAACTTCCTCACAAAAAGTGAGCTTGTAGGAGGAGGGAACACCTAGATTTATAAGGAACCAATAAAACTCACTTGGACGATGTGGGATTGTAACAATACCTCACACTTTGAAGAGTCAATGTCCTCGTTGGTTACTACTAGCACCCCCTTTTTGGTCCAAGCCACCACTCTGAGTCATTGTTGGTCGTGACGTGACTACGTAGGTCAAGGTTGCCACCCCTCTTTTCGACTCGAAGCCAACACTCCATAGGCCACCATTCCAAGTGTTGGAACCTTGAAAGATGAGGATGGCTTTGAAAGCAATTGATATAAATCCATCTCATACTAGGACCGTATAACGCCAAAAGCCCAACTGTAGAAGTTACTCCTAAAAGCCAACTTGTTGGAGGAGGGACACCGACTTATAAGCAACCTATCAAACTTTCATTTGGATGATGTGTGATCATAACATCTTCTTGTTACAAACACTAAGCATGTTGTCATATTTCCGCATTTCAAGTGGTTTCCTCCAACTTTCAATTGTTCATCACAATCTCATCTATTGATTCTAATTTTTCATCAAAAGCTTTCTCTTTCCTTCATATTCCAATCTAGATCCCAAAGCTTTAATGCCACTATGTTGGAGAAAACATTAAAGACAAAAAGATTATAGGAGAATTCCTTTGCACAAAAGTACACACACGCACAAGCATGCACATGCGCATACACACACACACAGTTGGTAGGGGTAGCTAGTGCTACCCCTCATTCTCTCCCAAAGTGTTCACAGCGAACTCAATTGTTCTCGTATAGAGGGATAAATTTAAATCCATTTAACAATTTGATAGCCACTAAACAGAATAAATAGCCCACTAATTAATTATAAAGTTCATTTAATAATTTAAAATCCATTTTTATTACTTTAGTTTAATTTATATGTTCAAATTGAAAACCTATATTTAGCTGATTATTCGTTCACTTGTTATGTTGTTGGTGAAATTAGGTTTAAATCTTTAATTGTAAATTTTAAATCTTTAATTGTGTTTGTAGTGAGATTTGCTAATTTGAAGGGCATTAAAGACCTTTCTCATTTGATGGTGGAAATGGGGAAACATCGTTCTTTTTCTTTTGTTTATAGGTTATTAAAGTTGACTTCGGTTTTGCCCGTCGCAACCAAAATCGTTGAAAGATATATGTTTTTTTTTTTTTTTTTTTTTTTTTTTTTTTTTTTTTCGGAATGAAGCTCTTGAGGACCGACTTGCGTAAAAAAAGTTTCTGAAGATTTTCCGAACGTACTATTATTTATAGTGTATATATAAAAAAACCCTTATGGATTTTAAGATCGAACGAGTAATAGAGCGTTTATAGAAAATGGGTAAATGAAATGTCAGATATAAGACTTTTGTGCTAGTAATGAAACCCTAATTAAAAAAAATTACTTCACTATTTTCATTGGGAGTTTTTTTTTTGTGCCCCCTTGTATAAGTTACTGGTTCCTGCTTCAAGTTGGTGGTTATTTTCTGGATAACTAATATTAACTGCATAACGACAGTAACTACCATTCATTTATTCATAAATCCTAATTTGTCTAGTTTAATAATTGAACATGGGATTCACATGAAAACATGCTAAAATAAAATTTCCAATGCCTATAGTCAAAATAGCCAAGATGTACCTCATCCAGTAATATCATGTGTCTGTCAAGCCGAGACTCAAAGACATTAAATTGATATTGTGTCTTGTGCAAGAAAACAAGCCCTCGGGCAATTCCTACTGCTATTTTCACCTTTATAACCAATGGAAGTCGTGATACCACACCTACATCCCATCAAACATATGATAAATTGTAGTATTTTGAAAATTTTATTTATTCATGGAGTTATTTATGTTGCTTACCACTATTCAGGAGATCATTAAAGTTTCCTTTAGGCATGAATTCATACACAAGGAACAATTGTTTGCCTAGTTGGTCTTCGAAGCAATATCCTATGAGTTTTTCAAGGTTGGGGTGCTTAAATTCTTTCAAATGCAACTGCATTCAAAAGTGATCACGTGTCACAACTGTTATTCCATGAAAGCGATACATGCAATGGTACCACATAATTTGTATTTGAACAGAAGTTAATTTGGGTTTTCACGCCAATAAGATATAAAAATAGAGGGTAAAATACAAAAATACTTTACCCAGCATGCAGTTTTGTAGAAATCAATTCTCTTAACAGCAATAGCCAATCCGGTATTATCTTCTGTGGGGGAATATGTTTTTTTATCGATCCAACCTTTGTAAGCCTTCAGATACCTCTTGTCATCTCCCAAGTTCTCAGTAGCACGCATCAGGTCATAATACGTGAAACATTTAAGATCTGTAACCAACAATTCCCAAGGCTGAGGACGCATTTCACCCTGATTGTTGCCATCCTTGTTAGTTGAAGAGCCCCGATTCATGTTTACATGGCTCTTTGATAAACTTGTGCCACTTTGTTCTTGGGTAATGGATGAAAAAGGTCAAAAGCTAACATAGTTAGTAACAATTACCTACAACTACATGATTGAAAGTCAAAGATTTGCTATTATATCTATATATGGGAGATATCTATTGCATTCTTATATGACAAAGCAACATTGTTACATTTAGAGACAGGGAAGAGAGAAAGAAATTCATAACATTATCAACTTCTGCAAATGGAGTAATGTAAAATGCTATGGAGGAGCACAAAAGTTAGAATTATGTGTGGGTGTTATGGCATGTAATACTTTTACTTTTAAGAGTGTTAAATGGTGACAACTATGAAGTTGAAGACACGTATATACATATTGAACACTAATGAAAAGTTTCTGCATACATACCAGAGTTCTGTTTAGTTGCAGAAACAAGATACTTATGAATCTTCCAAGTGAATCCAGTTATGCTTGATGGTTCAGCTGAATTTTCATGTCTCTGTTGTAGTTCAAGTAAAGCCTGAAGTGAGACCACAACCTCAGCGATGGTTGGACGTTCCTTTAGAACACTAAGCAAACAACGGTATGCAATTTGTGCAAACCGTTTTAAACATTTGGGAAAAATTGTTCCCTTGATATTGGGATCAACCATTTGATCTAATTTGCGTTCTTTCACACACTTTTGAGCCCATCTTACCAAACTACATTCCTCCTCACCATTGCGTTCATCGACTGCAAGCCTCCCTGATAGCAATTCAAACAATACAACCCCAAATGCATACACATCTGTTTTCCTTGTCAGCTTTCTTGTATAGAAATACTCTGGATCCAGATACCCGAATGTGCCTTTAACACTTGCATCAAGAAAAGAAAATGATTGATTCGTTGGCCCGATTTTGGATAACCCGAAATCTGATATCATAGCATCCCAATTCTTATTCAAAAGAATGTTCGAGCTCTTCACATCACGATGTATCACTCCATGTTGAGTACCAACACCAGTGTGAAGGTAATCCAATCCACGTCCAGCTCCAATTGCTATATTCAGTCGTTGCACCCAATTCAATGGGGCATCAGCTTTGTGTAAATGATCGTATAGGGTTCCACGGGGCATATACTCATAAACAAGGATCATCTCATTGTTGTCATCACAAAAACCAATCAGAGACACCAAATGACAATGGCGCAACTTAGAAAGCATATGAATTTCGGCCCTAAACTCTGGTGCCCCTTGATTGGATTTAGAATCCAACCGTTTGATGGCGACAACATGACTAGTCTCTTGGATACAAATACTACCTTTGTAGACATTTCCGAATCCTCCTTGTCCAATGATCAGTTTATCATCAAAGTCTTTGGTTGCGGATTGAATCTCTGATAGAGTAAAGTGGAGACATGGTTGTACTGAAGGTAATAAGAGCAACTTATCACCCTCAGTGGACATTATCAAGGTCTGTATGTACTAAAGATTTTGTGAAATAGGAGCTGGGATCAGATATAAAGGACAATCTGTGATCACAAGGAGGAAATTACTTTGCAATAATCAGCATGGGTATTGGGTGCGACACTCTCAAGGAGTACTGGCCAAAAGGATGAAGAGCCAAGGAGGGAATAAAAAAGTCAACAGGATCATTGGGAGAACGAGGCGAAGGCGTAGTTGCCTATTGTAAATACAGAGCAAAGATTATTGACTTAAACGACAATTCCACTATCACTTAATTAGATTATGTTTTCCCCAACCACTTAGTAAACTCCACAGCAATCATCCATAACAACAAGAAGGCCGTCCATAAACGATCCCTTCCATAACCCCTGAAACCGTTAAATCATTGAATCCGTGAATTTCACCAACTTCATGACTTATAATAGCCTTAGCTTTAAAATTTGAAATCTAACCTCCATTTGCTGCGGTTGAAAACATAAGCCAAACATATTTTAAAAATGTCTGCTACTGAGCATAACAAGTGTGAAGGTAATGGCTGGCATGATATGAACAAAATGCAATCTATCCTTTTAGATAAAAGAAAAACAAAAAAGAGAGGCGATCTGGGAGTTTAAGTACCGCAGTATAACCTGCAGAACCCTGGGCTGCAAGGGGGAAGGAGACTTGGCTGACGCCGGGAGAGAACTCCGACTCCTATCTCGCCCTCTTTGGAATTTGGTTTGATGGATAAAAAACATTTAAAGATTGGGTGGCGTTAAAAAAAACCTGTGGATTTTAATTATATGGTTTACGTGAAAGATTAAACGTAATAATTAGTCTAATCAATTAGACAATTAGGTTCTCAATTAAAATTAAATATATTTTATTTATAACTTTTAATTTTATTATTTTATATATCTTATTTTCTTAATATTTATATTAATTATATACAAACAAATCTTCAAAAATAGTTCCTATATTTTCCAAAAAATCTGAGTTCAGGCCTTAACTTTTAAGGTCATCAAGGATGGTTCAAATAATTTCAAAACTCTAATAGATGATCCTTAACCTTAAATCTGTTAGTTTTTTACCATTAAGTCCATTTAGATGAGAGCAAAATGGTCTTTTCTATGGCACATAGACCATTTTTTAATATATATATATATATATATATATATATATATATATATGATTTAAAAAATAAAAAACTAATTCCCCTCCCCTTCCACCTTCTACCACATCCTCATCTTCACTCTACTTGACAACCCCCACCATCCGTCATTGGACTGCCGCCACCACAACCCCACCCCTTGTAGCCACCCTCTTTACTCACCTAATATTAGAAGACATGGGAGAGGGAGAACAAAAAGTAACAGAGTTGCATGGTTGAAAATTAGATCACGGTTTTCTCAACCAAGTATTGTTTGTGATTTTGCTTCTACCCATTGAACGATCGACGCTTTTACCAATGGATTTGTAATAAATAGGCCAATGGGAATTCAACAATAAATCCTTCAGTTTTCAGTATTTTATGGTATGCAAGATGTGTAATTTTACAACAAAACATGAAACAAGAAACATGAATAAATGGAAGTAATATAAATCCTCATAAAATGACCAAATATGTCACATTTGAAGTATCAAAGAACCCATTTTTACATTCAGAATTCCACAACAAAAGAAAGAGAAAAGAGATGAAATGAACTTAATTCAGCAGACACCAATTTAAGATCAAAGATTCGTCTCAGTTGATGTAATCTCACATCCCTTACACATAGTATGGCATGAAATAGCTATTGCAACAATACTGGTAATGATTAAACTGAAATGTGACTTCATTGGGCTTTGATTCTTTGGATTTAGGTTTCTTCTCCTCCACCAGACCAAGAGTCACTAGCTCTGTATATCCAACCCTTATCCTTAGCAAGGTCATCAGTTTCACAAAGTCAATTCGTTCTCCGATCAGAAAGAGCAATAAGGAGAGATGAATTGCAATTCAAGAATTTAAACAAATAGTTTGAATCCAAGAATTACTTCAATTAGTTTAAACCAAAATTGTAAACTTTACAATTATACATAATATAGGATCAAATAGACTTTCGAATAAAACACTCTACCCTAGGATCACAACCAAATGAGGAATAAGAAATAAGGCTGAATCAATCATTCTAGGGCTATAAGATCCTAACCGTATACAATTTTTTTTCTAAAACATACACAATTCAATCCATTGTATCCACTGATCTGAAAACCATTCTAGCATGTAATTATAAAAGTTCATACAATCAGACATATAAAGACATCTCTCTTATCATGAAATTTTGAGTAGATCGTTAGCCTTAATCTAACATGCAGTTCTCATAATCACATCACACATCATCATAAACATATATGGTATCCTGGGAATACTTACTTGAGCTCGGCTGATTGCATGCACCACACCCTTTCTTGTTTTAGAAAACTCTTTTCTCAAAAATGTATTCTTTTTTGAAAAACTTAATCAAATCCTCAGTTTGAGTTTAGACACACTTGTGAGTATGTCCAAATCCCTCAAATTAAGGTTCTGATACAAACTTGTAACGTCCTAAAAATAAGACCATAAAATTTCATTTTTAATCCAATAAAAACAGTGCTCCAAACATTATCCATAAAAGTTTAACAAAATAAGTGTATGAGTATTATTTCAAATCAGAGTAAGTTATTGTAACATCCTGTTTCTGATTGTTCGTGATTGGGGTTCGTGGGAATCGGGGGTTATGTCGAGTAAGTGATGACAGTTTGATGATTTGGCAAGATAAGTCCTTTAATTGAAATTGATGGCAGCGGAGTACGCTGGGCGTACATGTGTATACGCTTAGCCTACTCATGCGCGTGATATTTAAGCTGGGCCACCTAATACGCTAGGCGTACTAGGCACATAAGAAAACCCTAATTAAGAGGAGTGTCCCTATATAAAGAATGAGATGGCCTTAATCTTGGCCACCATCCTCATTCAACAAACCCCCCCTAAACTCTAATCCTCATTCTTGAGCTTGTGTGTGACCATTGTGAGCTTATAAGTGTTATTGTGGAATTTTTGGAGTGAAGAAGGAGCATGGAAGAGAATAGAGATGGAGTCTAGGCTTTGGAACTAACCTTTTCTGTGGTTGGAGCATCATTTGGAGGTATAAAGCTCAAAGCTTTCCCATCCTTTTTGTTTTGTGCATGATATGGTCCATTTTAGGGCTTTTGATCCCAAAGCTTGAGGCTTTATGAATTGTTGCACTCCAGAGCTCAATATTTGTCCTTTTAAGTGTTTCTAGTGGTGAGGATCCATAAAAATGAGGTCTTGAATGTGAGAATCAACCCATGCATGAGATTTGAGAATTTTGAGTTAGAGAGAATAAGAGTTTTATGTGTATGTGACCTTATTAGCCATGCAAAGGATTAAAGTCACTAACTTTATAGAGTAAGAGATGATAGGGAGTCCAGATCTGAGAAATGAGTTAAGGTCTTAATGGGTTAAGACCAAAAGAATGGACTAAAGGCAAACTGGACATACGCCCAGCGTAAGTTCCAATATGCTCCGCGTACTGGGTTGGAGTCCCCAATCTGTTTCATGCATGCGTAAGTACGTTGAGCGTACCAACAGAGAAATATTATAATTTTGCTTTGCGCCCTTGTGTTGGGCTTCCCATTTAGTTTTGAGAGTGGGCCTCGGGTAAGCCCATTTATTATTGGGCCTTGGTGGGCCCAATGGGTTTTAGGCTTTTTATGGGCTGGTTAGTGGTCTTCCTTTAGACCTAATGAGTAAGAGTCTGGACTTAGTTTCTAAATGGGTTGATTGTGGTTTTGGCTTAAAGTTAGAGGATGGTGCGTAACAACAGCGTTGTAGGGGCTATTCATCATCCGAGGTGAGTCTTCTCACTATACTTCACCTAGAGTGGTAGTTATGTGTGATTGGAGGGTCTTATGTGTTTACATTGAGTATTACCTTATCCTGCTTTATGTTGTATGCTATGCATTATGTCATTGTGATTTATGCTATGCGGAGCTTTATAGACCAGACCAGAGGGTCCAACGAACCGTGGGATCGGAGAGTCCCACTGAGACACATTAACCGGAGGGTCTTAAAAGAGATATAGCCTCAAGTAGCTGATGAGCCGTGAGTGTGGTATTTTGGGAAACTCACTAAGCTTTGTGCTTACTGTGTAATGTGTTTTGTGTTTCAATTTTTCTCAGAATCGCGGGAAGGCACCGGCTCGATTATACACACTAGAGAAGGAGTTTTGATTTGAGGATCCTAGATTATTATCATTATATATATATATATATATATATATATATATATATATATATATAGAGAGAGAGAGAGAGAGAGAGATAGAGATAGTGAGAGAGAGTTGTGTTTTGTAAATAAATTAAATGGAGTTTTCGTGAAACGTGATATGAGAATTATGTGTTTTTTTAAAAAAAAATTGTTTGACAATTTACGGTGTTTCAAGTTGGTATTAGAGCCTTGGTTTGAGGGATTCGGATGCACTTTCAGGTAAATTTGAACTCAAACTGAGGAATTGAGAAAGATTTTCAAAAGAAATGATTTTCTAAAACGAGCAAGAGTTTCTAAGAGGAAAAACGAGAAGGATCAGTTTGTACAATCAGCCAGGGCTCGAACGGTGATTTCCCAAAATACCCTTACTTGTTTTTGTTATGAGTTATTATTGAGATATTATTGATGCATGCTAGAAGATAGGCTAGGTATTTCATATCTTAGGGCTAGAGTTGCCTGATTTGTGATGCCTTGGCCTAGGAATTTTGCTATCGGTGATGTGCTTTGAGTATGTGCGGAGTAAGAGTATCCAACATGAATCTTTTAGAGAGAGAGGACTTTGAGTAGAGGAGTAATCTAGGAGAGATACCTAGATGAATAGTGGAGGAGCCTATTAAGAGAGTAGTTAGATACCCACTTAGGGTAGGGTTACTGGAGTTTGGTGACACCTCTTGAGCATGAGTAGAGAAAGTAGAGTTGTAACCTAGAGTGG